GAATAGTGGTGTCATCTGCATACATTACACATTTACATGGCATAATATCTGGCAGTGAGTTTACATAAATAATGAACAATAGTGGACCTAATATTGAGCCTTGTGGTATACCAATATTTATATCCATAAGATCTGATTGAGTAGAATTTATATTTAGGCCTAGCTTAGCCTGGTTGCTGCACACAGGGTTGGATATATTATATTACTTCCTCTCTAGGCCTAGGCTATAAGCTAGGAAACACACACAAGGAAAACAGGTTAGGCCTGTGGCCGAATTGGATAGAATTTCACCAAGGCCTTGGCAGCGCTAATGCACTTTCACACCTAACTTTTGATTTCTAATTTTTTTTAATTCGGATAATATACAAAAATAAATAATAAGAATAGTTCTAAAAAATAATAAATAATAGACCTATAAATAATATTAGTAATTATAATAACTTGTCTTTGGGGAATGGGTAATCATGATCGCTATTCATCTGGGTAATTCCCTATCATTTGGGTAGTTGTCGTCTGGGCCGAGTTGGTTTTGGGCCAAAGTGTCGTCTGGGGCCGAGTTGGTTTTCGTCCAAGTTGGTTTGGGCCAATTTGGTTTTGGGCCGAAGTGACCTGCTACCGCCAGGCCTACCTGTATGTTATTGTAGGTGCTGTACTGGTAGATAAACTGTAATTCTCTTGTCATGAATTTTAAACGCATAATTAGATTATAAAACATACATCCCTTATAAAGGGATACCACTTAGATACCTAGGCCTAGCTTAGCCTGGTTGCTGCACACAGGGTTGGATATATTATATTACTTCCTCTCTAGGCCTAGGCTATAAGCTAGGAAACACACACAAGGAAAACAGGTTAGGCCTGTGGCCGAGTTGGATCGAATTTCACCAAGGCCTTGGCAGCGCTAACGCACTTTCGCACCTAACTTTTGATTTCAAATTTTTTTACCTCAGTGTTTTCACGCTTGCTAGCACGACAAGCTGTACTGATTTGCAATTCAATCAGGTAGAAAATTGCCAGAATGTCCGAGTCAATTCTTATATTTTGAAACAATTAAAATTTGAATTGGAATTTTCCCATGAAACATCCGACAAACAAAATGTGGCATCATGAAGTACCATATTTGTGTTTAGCTTACTGTCTGTAGGGGCTGGCCCTATTTGTATGGCTGTGTACACATTTGGATCATTTTACTAATTGTAAAGTAATTAGTGTGTTGTACTATGTGAATTTCATGTGCAACACATCATAATCAAACAATACCACCATAAAATATAACGCATGACTGAAATGACATACGAATTCAAATAAATAAGTTTTCATAAACGTTTAAATTACATAAAACTTCGCACTGTAAACTCGGACATTCCTGGCAATTCCTACTGATTGCAAATGGCTGCAGCTCTCGTCGTGCTAGCGAGCACAGGTTTGCTGTCCTGTAACTGTATTTATTTACATTTGGGTGGTTGAATCATGTAAAAATGTTTTATAATCATATTTTCTGACTGTGAGAAGAACACTGGGGTAAAAAATTAAGATTTAAAAGTTAGGTACAAAAGTGCATTAGCGCTGGCCTTGTCCTAGCTAGGCCCTAGGTCGGGTCGGTGGCCTAAGTAAGTAAAGTAGGCCTAGGGGCCTGGACCTAGGCCTAGGACTAGGCCTGTCTCTTATACACATCTAGATGTGTATAAGAGACAGGTCCTAGCAACATCACCTCTCAAACCCACCTCCTATATTTGAAGCAGCCTGGGCTAGATGTGCTAATGGGCTTTGATGTGCTTGGTTTTGGAAGTTGCCATGGCTAGGGTTGGCCATGAACTGCGCTCTGGGTATCTGTGACATTTGCTGTTGCATCTGTTGTTGGGGTGGTGGAGGGGGAGGAGCGTTCGCCTCAGAAGACTGGAAGACTCCTTGCCAGTGCTGCAGCCTTCTCATCTGTTTCTGTATTAGCAAATCTTTGCGCCTTAGCTCGTTCTGCAACTCCTCACATTCCTAGAGAAAAAAATATATTTCCAAATTACTGATTGTGCTTTGTGCGAAGCTTCATTCATTTTGTGTAATCAGTTTTTTCATACCATATCTCTGCAGTTTGTGCAATTTGCTATCGTTACCCTTAGATACTGTCTCTTATACACATCTTTTATAAATAATCAGGAATAGTGTACAGTAGGACAGAAATTTTAAATCATAGAAATAATTGTTGGAAAACTGTAAAGGTAGTAGTAAAGAAATCTGCTAAACAATCAAGAACATGAGATTTTTTTATTTACATCAAGGATATCGATGTTCCTTATGAAGGTGGGAGCGTGCTCAGTGGTGGTCCAGAAGGCAAAGCCACTGAAGCTACGACAGTTGAGGGATTTAAAAGGCTCTATTTAATCGGTTTTAGAGTCTAACATTGTATAAGAAATACACTTTTATTCCTCCCAAAAGGGGGTGGCACCACATTCTGAAATCTGTCCAATTAACAAAGTTTTACAAATATGCAGGTTGTTGCTTAAACAGTGTCTTTGTTGCCGATGAATTATATCACTTTATACTATGTACAAAAACTTATCTTATTTTTGTTGGTTATTACGCACCACTGATTTGGGCCGTTTGTCATGGTCATCACTTCAAAATGTCTACCAATAATGCATGGTAAAGTCGTCTTCTTCACATACTCAAAAAAGGACGTTCGAACGTCATGTCGAAACTACATAACTACATACAGTATTATGTCATATTAACATATTATGCCATATTATGTCATAATGCGACCACATGACATCTTGACCAAACCGCATACATCAAGACCAAACCACATAACATCATGACCAAACCGCATAACATCATGACCAAACCACATAACGTCATGACCATACCACATAACGTTGCACATACCGGTAATAGAGTGTTTGTACATAACCGGAGATACTAACGGCGTTCCATAGTTGTTCACCATGTGACGACCTTACGTCATGGTTTGATGAATAGGGCACGTTATAGGATCACTGATCTCTACTATAATATTAATAATATTGTATGCAGCCTGCTTGCTTGGCAGGGCTTTTCATTTTTAGGTTATTAATATTGTAAAAAACAGATATTAATATTTCTGTTTTCGGTGCACAGAATGGATGAGCCTACATTTCATGATTCAAGTGAAGGTGACTTGAGGTGTCCTCTGGATGAGAGTTTGAAAACAGCAGGTAAAGTTCACCCGGTGATGTTCCTGAAGCAAACATACCGGTATCCGATCATTTCGGTCGCGCTATTTTCGTTATGCATTTCGGTCGCGGTGTATGGCGCGCCAACGGTACGACCCCAAATTTGGAACAAGGTAGGTAACTAAGCAGTATAGTATTTTTGACTAACAATTATTTGTATTACTGTACTATAATTGCTGCAAAGCAGCCAATTCATATTCTTGAGCAATTTGACCTCTCTCTGAAAGGTCATTGTTTGTCAAAAAACAAGGGCCTAAGATGACTGAAAAGCGGAGTTTCCTTCTTTCTTTCTGCCGGGTAAAATCAATTACTTTAGGCGACGTTTGTAGACTAACCAACACGTACCAACGTCCACATGTCGCGCTAGCCTTATCCTACTCTAGTCCTAGACTAGCTAGGATGGTATAGGCTTAGCCTTGAAGGGACGAAGGTCCCAATGAAAAACAACGTCGCTCCTTGATAGCTAACATTGTCTATTTAGCATCACAATAATTCATTATTAGACCTATAGTTGTTTTTTGAATTGTACTCCACAAATCTCAGCCGATACCTCGCACAACTCGAGTAACTCGAGTCTTGTATCTATTTTGGCTGGCTCACACTTGCGATGTCTTGCACTTGTGATCAAATAACACGCTGGCTCGCACTTTGGCAACACTCTTTGGCAGTCAACTCGCCCCTAGAAAACCTGCCCTTGGAAACTTGCCCCGTAAAAAAATGTACACTTCCTAGACCGTGCAGTCTTCAAAATAAAAATTGTAACCTTTGGTGATCAACTACATTTTCCACATACATAGAAATTTTTGAAACTTTATGAAAAAAAACCTAAACCATAATTCACCACTATAGACACTTTTTGACAAAAATGAAAAATTACGACTTTGTTACCCAATGAAAAGTGTTCTAATATAGACAATGGGTCGTGTCTCATATTATTTGTTATATTTTTATTATTCGTTATTTTCACTTGACTCGCATAAATAATTTTGTTTGAAGACTAGTATTATAGTTTTTTGATTAATAATATTACGTGTATCACTTGGTGTTATTTTTCTTTCTTTACAGAAACAACAAAAATGTTACAAAGTCGACTTGGTTTGAGACAAGTTTCTTTTTAACGTTTGTTGCGATATATTTTTTTTTAATGCGTAAATGGAATGGAGATTTATGAAATAAAATTATGTAGTCAATAAATTAGTTTTTCATACATTTGTTTTCTTGTCTGTTACGTTTCCATTTACTGTATCTTGAATGTTCTGATCATGTTTATGATTTGATAAATGAACATACTGAATGATATATGGTGAATGAAAATGAGGGAAATATATAGTATTTTCATATTTATTTCCCACATAAAATGTTCAATATATTTATAATTAAACACCGTACATTTTAATGGCCCATTTCAGGCTTCTTTTATATTCATAAGCCCGACAAAATGACTCTTTCTGGTCCTATTCTATAGTTGCGCTAGAATTTAATTTCCCACCAACTAGATTTCCATGGTACTCTTGAGGTGAAGCAGCACAAGGTTTGTATTTTCTTGTTATATTTCCATTTTTTATACATATCCTGATGTTTATCAAATACATAGTAAAATGAAGTTTTAATATATAATTTTAAATACATGTTAATAGCCATTCCACGGTTTCGGTATTTAGGGCGGGCTTCCTTCTAAAGCTAGAAAAATTCACTTCGAGGCCTCCTGTACTAGTTGCCTGGTAACTAACCATAAAATAGGAAAGAAAATTTCCCACAACCAAGGTTCCCACGGTGCTCATGAGGGTGAGAGAGGGTGAGTGCTATATGAAAATCAATCTGGCTTTAGGCCAGGCTATTCAACAACAACCGCATATCACAGAAAACTGGTTAGAAGCAATTGATAAAGGAAACCTTATAGGAATAGTAATGATTGACCTTAAAAAGGCATTTGACACAGTAGACCACCACAAACTAATCAACAAGCTTTATTCTTTCAATCTTCACCTAAGTGTTATCAAATGGTTCACTAACTATCTTCAAGACCGTACTCATATAACTAATGTAAATGGAGCAGATTCTGAAGAATGTCACAGTATATGTGGGATCCCTCAGGGGTCTATATTAGGACCCTTGCTATTCCTCCTGTATATGAATGATTTCCCTAGAACTGTCGATAAATCCACAGTTTCAATGTATGCCGATGACACCTGTATATATTATGTAGATAAAAATGTTAATAATTTAACTGCAACAATTAATGATGATTTGATAGAAATTAAGAAATGGCTCATATCTAATAAACTGAGTTTAAATGTTAAGAAAACTGAATACATGATAATAGGCTCGAGACAAAAATTATCAAACATTTCAAATCTTCAAATTGATATAAACATTGATGGAGAACCTATCACTCGTGTTAATCAA